GAGACCTTGTGGGCAGTTCCGCTCTGTCCTCTAGGGGCGCTGTGAGTTGGAATCGACTCCACGGCAGTGGGTTTGTTTTGTATTCCCCGACAAGCCTCCCCTAATAATTAGGTGCCCTTCCCTAGTGCTTCTAATAGCCCAGGATACATCTATCTTAGCACCCGTCATGTGATTCCCTAATTGTTTACTGGTCTTTCCCTTCTGCTGGACGGCGTTCCCCGGCACAGAGGTCCCATCTCACTCATCTTTGTGTTCTCAGCACCTGGCATAGCAGGTGACACGCAGTGGAAACTCAGTGCCAGTCTGTGGAATCAACGAAGCACAGCGAGGGCGGTAGCCTCTGCGTACTGAGCACGGCTTCCTGTGCCAGCTCAGGTGGCAGTCTTGCCAACAGACTAGCTACACCTCTTCTCGCAGGAGCAGGAGTTCCATACCCAGTGCCTTTCCCTACACTCAATGTCCTCTCTGACTCCCAGGAAGCCTCGGTCAGCTTGTTTGCCCCTCTGTCTCTCTCTCTCTCTCTCTCTCTCTCTCTCTCACACACACACACACACACACAGCCCCCTACTCCCCAATCCCATCCCTGTCTGCTCAGGCCTGGGGCGTTCTGGCAGGTTGGTCCTTGCACACATTCCCACACCCTTTTCCTTCATGTCCTTGAATTCTCTATTCCTGTTCAGTTAATGACAACGCATTCCCTTTATACATACACCCTTTTGGCCTTTGGGCGCAGACCCCTGCAGCCCAGCTCAGGGGAGACCAAAGCAAAGGGTCACTGTACACCCCCCCCCAACGGCCTGTGCCTTCCTTAGCCACCTCAAGGGCTGGCAGCCACTTCCCAGAGGCCCAGGGGAGGCTCACGTCATGGCCTGATATATAGACTCAATGCCATAGCGCATGGCAAATTCATCCACGATTTCTTGGGCTGTCTCATCGAAGTACACCTTCCACGCATCGTCTCCTCGAGCCTCAGGGATCCGGACTCCTCCACCACCCTGAATGTCTGTGAGGTAATGAAAGAGGTTCTGGAGGAGACAGAGCAGATAAAAGGAAAGGGTTAAGAATCATGGGAAGCCAAGGGGAGCTGGCCTCTGGGCAGCCAAGTGAAAGGTCATGCTGACCAGACAGACCTTGGGCAAAGCACAACCCAAAGACCAGCCAGCTGCCTCCAGGGGCCTCGAGCTTACTCAGTCCTCTGCCTGAGAGGAAGTGTCTGGTCAGAGCCACGGGAGCTCTGTCAGCCTGGTGTGCCTGAGAAACTGGACAGTGCACGGAGGGAACGAGTTTCCGAATCAAGAAACTACTGCACGTGAGGGTGCCACGCTAGAGGCTTTCACGCCTCACCTCACTGAATCCTCCCCTCAACTCAGTGAAATGGAGTTATAATGCCCATCTTACACATGAAAACACTAAACTCAGTTCTGCTTGTGAAACTGGCTCAGAGTCTCCCTTCGAGAGACCAAGCCTCAGAGGACGACCCACGTCACTCCTTTGACTCCAAAGCCACGCCTTGCTTTATCAGGAGCTCTCATGTCTACGGAACTTATGGATGGGCTTCAAAGGGTCTGTGAACCTTCCCAAATACAGGCAGCTTTCCACTGCATTTTAAAAACCATCTGGGTCATAAAAGGTTAAGAGCCACGATATTGCTACTGTGAGGAAAAATCAACCATGGGGCCAGAAAGAGGTCCATCGAGCAGGACGGGCTTGCTCACACTGTTTCCTTGGGGACGGACACAGGCGTTGCCACCTGGTTTAACACGTACATTTGAAGGTATTTCCTAGATCTATGCTCAAAACAAAACCAACTAGGGGTCATGTGTGGGAGAACATGACTGGAGTTCCACAGAGTCTGTCCTTCGCGTCATCGCCCAGTCCCTCCTGTGGCCCCAGGAGGCTGTTCTCACATTACTGAGCACTGAGACTGGACTGCTCCTTGCATTGTCCAGGGTAATACAGTAGCCAAGGATAAAGGAATATACAGGCTCCAGATCTTCAACCACCTGGTATTCCTACCTATCCTCCAAGGCCCCACCCCAGGCCTGCTTCCCGGCATCCCATCCACCGAGGGTGGCTCACCTCATGGAGACACGTGTACTGCACATGATACGGGGCCACCTTCTCCTCCCCCTTGATCTCCACATTTATCTGTAGTCGTATGGCTCCTGAGACAGCTGACTTGTCTGTCCTCTTCTCTGGGGAGGAAGGAAGACCGACGACTGATACCAATGCCACAACAGGTAGCCTGGACAGACCCTGCCCTGGCTTCACACGAGGGAAGCAGACACTGATTCAAGGGTCCACCCACTAGGGCACACTCAGTCCAGAGGCCACACACTCTGCAAAGATCCCTGGACTGGGTGGCAGACCAGGAGTGGCCAAGGAGCTGAAAATATCAGGAATGAGCATGACGATTCAGGGGCTCCTGAAACCTAGTGCATGTCCAGGCAGAGTGAGTGCCCTCCCCCCACACCCCTCGGTCCCCCATGCCCACCCGTGGTAAGCTCTTTGCGAACAGGGCAGGCTCTGTGTAAAGACATGCCCTGAGGACTGAGTGGTGGCTTTGGTCCACGGACACCTGCCCAGATCCTCCCATCACAGTCGCCCCCCTCAGCACCCTTGTCAAGTTCTCTCCTCACCCAAGTTGTACCAGACGTCCATCTCGCCACTCAGTGTCCGAACCTCAATGATGGTCTGGCCAAGGAAATCATCCGACTCTCGCTTCAGCCGCTGCTTTACCCTTGACTTGATGTCATCGTCCTCATCCCACACACGTACCTTAACGCGATCAGAGGAGTTGTGGCACTCGCTGGGAGAGAATGGGCTCTGTTAGCAACAGGCCCAGCAGCCCCTAATCCTGATACTTCCATTCCCACCTCAAAGCTCCATCAACCACACTTGAGACTCTGGAAGAGGACGAGAAGGGGTCGGAGAACAGTGGCACCAAAGTTCCCAGTGAGTCAGGACATCCCAGCAAGTGGTTCTTCGTTCCTGGGCCTGACGGCTCCACCTGCCACTAACTAGCCCCTACCGCCCTAAGACAAAAGGGGGCAGGGAGAGGAGCAGGGTCCGTTCTGACTCCCTGGGTGGCTCGCTCTATCAGCAACACCAATGGGAAAACAGCTGGCCAGATGCTACAGAGCCCCAGGGAACCACTGCCAGCCCCCTCCTCAGAGTCCAACAGCAAAGGTGCTGGGCGTCCAGGGGACGTCCATCTGCTTAACTTTGTCTCATCCCCACTCTCTGGTGGGGAATGGCTGTCATCCCTTCCTACTCAAGGTGATCTGAATGATTGTCTCCCGCGATGTGCGCCTCACAGAAGGGACTGCCCAAGTTCCCTCTCACGTCTTTTTTCCGAACAGTTGTTTTCTGGGTCCCGTTGCCTCATCCAACCTGTGCTCGACAGAATTAGCTGCTCCTTCCCCTCTGTTCTCATCATATCTTTCCACAGTCCATTAAAATCTTACAGGGTAATTACTGGCCTCCTGAAGAATAACACACAAGTCAACCACGAGCTTCTTGGAGCCAGGCCTGTCTCGCTCATTTCTAGATGCACAGTGTCTTGTCCAGGATAGGGATTTAGTCAATTGTTTACTAACAGGATAAACGGGGGCCAAAATGACCACAGAGCCAATTCATTTCAAATTAATCACAAGAAGGACCCAGCAGGAACTGTGCAGATTCTCGGGGACACAGGAGCTTCCCCCAGTAATGCTGCTCCTGGGTGATAGAGATCAATCTTACTGTGCTCCAATCCCTCTCTACATCACCTCTCCAAGCAGCCAGAGAGAGCAGGCCAGCCTGCTTAGCTGGGGCAGACCCAAAGACCTGATGGGAGGCCTTAAAGGCATGACAGAACACCTCTGGATACGTCACGCACTCATCCACGTCTTAGGCGGAGCTTGTCAGTTTTCCACAACTACCCGACTTAACACAAAATAGTCTGTAAGAGAACGAGGGACTGGAAGGAGGAGTGGGAGGAGCTGTGGCAGAAGGAAAGCAGAGCCCTTAAAACCCAAACCACACTCACTGCCGTCGCATCAGGTCTGACTCACAGCGACCTCTCCTTGGGTTTCCGAGGCAGTATCTCTATGGAAGTAGATTGCCCAACCCTCCTTCCGAGGAGCAGCCGGTGGGTTTGAACCGCCAGCCTCCTGGTTAATAGTCAAATGCCTTAGGCACTACGCCGCCAGAGCTCCTAAGGAGGTGGAAACTTCTCCAGAGTCAAATTTCCATCTTAAAGCCAGAATTAGCCAGTTATAGGGCTCCCTGGAGCCTGGCAGCATAGTGGCTAAGACACTTGCCTGCTAACCAGAAGGCTGGAGGTTCAAACCCACCAGCCACTCCTCGGAAGGAAGGTTGGGCAATCCTACTTCCGTAGTGATACTGCCTCGGAAACCCAAGGAGGGGTCGCTATGAGTCGGGGCCGACTCGATGGCACATAACAACAACAACAACAACAGGGCTCCCTGGAAGAGCCCACCCCTCCTAGGGAGTGAGGCAGGGCTGGCAGGTCCACAGTAGGGTGGCCAGTCCCTGGTTCCGTCACTAAGCAACTGTAGAAAAACCTATCTGTGTTACAAAAACCAGCATGGGGTACCCAGAGGTGCCTTTTGTAGGCCGAGCGAAGGCAGGGCTTGGATACAGTAACCCTGACACAACAGTCCATGAAAAGAAACCCAGAGAAAGGATGGCTGCTGTCCAAGTGAAGCCCGTGAGAATGGGTCTCCCCCACTGTCTCCGCCTGATCCCTCTTGGGGCCCAGGCCCAAAGCAGCAGGTCTCAATGGTGCTCGCAAAATACACACAGTCCCAGGCAAACCACAGGCCACTCTCAGTGACTTACAAATGGAACTTCTCCTCCCAGACAGGATTCAGATTTCCAAAAATGGTCTTGGTACGCTTCTTGGTTTTGCCTACTTGCACAGTCACATAAGGGTCACTGGATCCTGTCTTGTCCTTGGCTTGCAGGCCCTGGGCACAGACCACTGCAACCCGAGCACATGGGAGTGAGCTTCAGAGGGAGCCTGGCAGTCGAGAGCCTCGCAGGGCACTGCCCACGTGCTCTTCATCTCAGAGCAGCGCCCACCTGACTACTGCCAGTGGCTCCAGCCTCACTCCTCCACACATACCCTCAAGCCCGGGCCACCAGTCTTTCCCCCAGTGTCTGAATCTGACAGACCACCTACCCCTACATTGATCATTACTCCTTCTGATAGATGCACCCTTCACCCCAACCTACCTGCCAGCAGACTGGCTAGGAACTATCCCCTGGTCTCCTCCCTGTCTCTTTCCCCTCCCAGGTTCTTGTAGTAACAGACTGTTGACAAAATCAGTAATGTTACATTGTCACCAAGTCTTTGTATTACCGTTCATATTGTCTGCAGGTACTAGTCTTGCCTCTCCCAGCACCCCCTGCAGCAGGGTTTAGGTGAGGAGGGGTGATGAATAATGAGGTCCTCCCCGCGCCCTTGGGCCTCTCCCCTCCTCCCCAGCCCTTAGCCCTCACGCGCAGGCCACCTCTTCCCTGGGCTCCTTCTCGCGGCCCACGCGGCCCCGTCCCCCAGCCCTGGGCGCTCACCGGTGACGCTGATCTTGGCCGACCACTTGGAAGTGCCATCCAGGACGCTGTGCTTCACCGCCTTCATCTGCTGCGCGTGGGCAGCCTCGCTGACAGCAAAGCCATCCCGGATAACGTCGAAGATCTCCGGTTTGTTCCGCTCTCTGATCTTCATACGGTCTTTCATGGCCATGATGATGTTTTGGGTCCGGTCCTCAGCTCCATGTTTAGAGCTCTTTTCTGCAGCCCCTGAAGGACGGCCAGAGACAGAAAGCAGGGCTGACCAACAACAGGCCACCTACCCAGAGGCCAATACCTACTGCTGCGTTTCCTGCTCCTATCCTCCCCTCTCCATGGGGGCCCTGCCAGCCCGTGGTCAGCTAGCACCTTGGGGGCCCAGCACACTCTGCTCCGGGCTTCTGCCTGACCCGTTCACAACCCACGGTCCTGGCAGTGTTCATCATGAGCAAGGAGCCAACACTACCTTCCCTGGGCCTCTCTGCAGGGCACGACACCTCACAGAACTCTCTCCTCATCAGTTTCTGTCCCTGACTCAACATGTTCTAGTCATCTGGCCAGTGTGGACACTAGGCTCAGCCTCTAGGATCAGCTGAACCCGGAGAGAGATTCCATCTCCAGTCGAGGATCCGGGAAAGCTCAAGGACTGTTCCCTAAAAATGTTGAAGAGAGCGTTCGAAGACTTGTGACTGGGAAAGGCAACGTCCCTCAACTTCGGATCCTGCTTTGCTGGGAAGGGAACGGGTTTCCAAACCAGGTAGGCTGGAAGAATGACAGACGGCTCAGCAATCCAGCTCTCTGTCCCGGACCGCTGTGGAGGGGCTCTCCTGGCCATCACCCTCTCCCACAGGCCACTCACGCTGCAGGCAGTCGGCATTGAGCAGGTCCTGGCACTTCTCATGACACTTGACTCCACACTCGCTGCAGCGCATGCCCTGCCGGGCGATGCCCCAGAGCAGGCCCTCACACTCATAGCAGTAGGTCGGGGTGGTAGCCGTCCAGACCTCAAAGTTGTGGGGTGTGGTGCACGAGATGGGGTAGATTAAGGCTTGCAGGGTTTTCTTATACACGTGGGATTTCTGAAAGACACATACCCCATCACCCACTAGCGACTTCAGACTTCTGTTGGGAGATACCAGAACTAAGGTCCTTGGAGGACAGTCAGGACCCTGGCTTCCCCTCTAGCAGCTGAGAGGAGTCTCTAGGCTGGCCCAGCCCATAGCCCAACCTGCCAAAAAGAAGTCTCAAATGTAGTCTGGTGGTCATCCAAAGTGAGCTTGACCTCAACACTGGTCTGAGCCTTGTCCCAGCACTCAGGCTCTCTAGGGGACTAGACACACTGAAGGAGCTCTGGTGGCGCAGCGGGTAAGGCATTGGGCTGCTAACCAAATGGTTCAAACCCACCGCAGCTCCACAGGAGGAAGATGAGGCAATCCAGTTCCGTAAAGATTTATAGCCTTGGAAACCCAACAGGGGTCACTATGAGTCGGAACTGATTCGATGGTAGTGAATTAGAAGGCACAGGACCCACCACAAAACCCTGAGCTGTAGAAGGGTTGGTGCACAGCCTCCTCCCAGAGACCAACATGTGACTTGGGGCTTATTCGGACCTGTGCCTACTCAAATGTGGAAAACTGAGACATGATGCTGCTTATCAGTTTGGGGCACGACATGTGCCCAGTACCTTTGCTTCCCAGTTAATACTGCTACAGGAATAATCCTCAGACCAGTGGGCTTATGAAAGCCCATGGGTCACTTACCAGCTCCTCATCTTTGAGAGAGGTGCGTGTAGCCATTGCAGAAGTAATGCCTGCCTTCCGAGACTGGACCAAAGACTGTTGAGAGAAGAACTGCTGTCAGCCCGGGCCACCAACACCAGGGGCTGGCAAAGTCCTGAGGGGAGCCTCAGTGACCAAAGTCACTCACTAGCGTTTACTCCGCTCCTTTTATTTCTACTGTCCTTACAGGATGCCCTCTGGGTAACAGATGACAGGTTCAGATCTAAAACGCAAGCCCCTCAGGGCTGCTCTAACGGTGTGTGAACACCTCTTCCCACAGTGGCTCCTGTCATCCCCAGAGTTTCTGTGCCCCTCACTAATATGCATCCCAGCCTCAGAAACGCCCTGTCACAAGAAGGCAGAGTGAAACGGAGAATGTTGCATTACAGTAGGAAACAGGGCACTGACAAGAGGGTAGACACAAACCCTGCCAGAGTCACCTTCAGGAACCATCACAGAGAGCCATGATTCCATGCTACCTCCCGTCCCCTCACCCCTCACCCCTCACCATCCCATTCTCATCTGATCCCCCGGTGGCTGTAAGGCCAGCTTGGTGACCGTAAGGGGCACGGCAGCGTCAGTCAAACTCGGGAGCTGAGGGTCCTGTGGAGAGGGGCCCACGTATCTGCCACGCCTGAGCTTTAGGGGCGGCCCTTGGACAGGCACTAGGCAGAGAGAAGCTGCAACGGCAGCCCTAAGGCGGGAGAACAGCTGGGAGAAGGCCAGGAGGGATGTGGACTCTTACGGGGCAGGAGGGGGCTCTGGAGACACTCACCATAGCCTGTGCAGAGGAGAGCAGAGGAAGAAACAACATGACATCAAAGCCAGCCCCAGGCACGAACAGCAGCAGAGGGGACTGAGAGCTGCCGCCCCACAGCCCAAAGTCGGGAACACCTCCCACCTCCCTGTCTCTGTCCACTGAAAATGTCTTCCACCCAGACAACTGGCCTGCAGCTCCATACCAAGGAGAGTTAAGCCATGAAATGCAAGTCCAGTAAGGGTCAAAGACAGAGAGGGTGACAAGAAATGAACGTGATGCTGGCATTCAGTCAGTCAAACTGGTGGATGAGGAGGGAGAGGAGTTAGGGAAAAATGGAGGAGGGGGTGGGAGACAAGTAGGGAGGGCAGAAGGGAGTGAGGAGCGGAGACATCAATGCTTATCCTCACAAGGGGCTGGTGGCGAAGAGGCGCACGGGGCAAGAGAGGAGAGAAAGAGAAAGGAGATGCACTCGTGGAAGCAAAC